ACGGTTCTTTTCAGATAAAAAAATGGACAGGTAGTAGGAAAACAGGAACAGCAATGCACAAGGAATGAAAAAATCTAGGTTTTAGTTCTGATTTCATGAAGCATTGGTGGGGCACAGAAAAAACTGTACCAATACCAGATTTGATCCTCTCCCACCAACCTTGGGAATCTGTGTTCATCAGCAGCTTAGGCAGAAACTGCCTTAGCAGGAGGAATTTGAGGGCACATGGATGATGCACAAGCAATTGGAAGACATCACTCAAAGATGTTTTTGTAAAGGGGCTGAGTATTTCAATGTTGATATCCAAAATCTGAAGCTTCAAAAGCAGAAATATGTCTGCCATACATGATCTAAGTGCTATGTAGTTTTTGGAAGAATTTGAAGACATATTCATGATTCAACAATGGTAAAAAGAACAAGTTCTTTTTTGCATTCAACTTGGAACTCTGGGGATATTAACTGTACACAAAAATGAAAGATCCATTTATTTAACAACCTTATTATATTACATGATCTCTGGAAATTTTATAATATTAAAAACATAAGCTGTGAACTACAGAAGTTTCAAAACCACAAATGGGAAAGGGAAGGGAATAAGCATTTATATAGCACCTATTATGTGCGAGGCACTGTGCTAAGCACTTTATAAATATTATCTTATTTGATAAATACAACCAAACAAAAGATTATTGAGTTATATAACTGGTGTTAGCTCTGATAACACTATTTTATAACTTGTGGAAATGGTTAGTGGCATTTCAAGAAAGTGACTATTACTCTTGTAATCATGTACCATCAAGTACAAGCTACCACTTCTTCAATGATTACAGACAGATTTAAACCAGTACTGCACAAACTGGAAAGGGTAAACGAGTATTAGACAAAATTCAAAAGACATATAGTTAGATGGAGGTATTATAATAGAAAGAACACTTAATTTAGAGTCAGATGACCTGGGTTTGATTAAATCCCAGGTATGTAACCATAAGCAACTTATTTTCCTTGAGTCAGTTTTCTAATCTCAAAAACAGGACCAATACTTACACTACACCTAACTCACAGGATCGTTGCAAGTAAAGCAGTCTGTAAACTTTAAAGCACCACAGAAGTGGGAATTACTATTATAATAAGGACTCAGTCAACTTTTCTACAACCAATATTTACCTATGGAAACGTGTTTGATAAATGGGACAGAGTAAGCTATTTGCCTAAAGCTATTCTATTACCTAAGGAAAGCTGCATAGTACAGTTGGAATGGGCTCTGGACCAAGAGACTAAAAACCCAAGTCCTCCTCGGCTCTGGACCAAGAGACTAAAAACCCAGGTCCTCCTCATAACTTTGCAACTAATGATGCAGCAGTAATTGACAAATAGTCAAGAGAGGTGTACAGTAACATCAGCCACAGAAATATGAATTTGGTACCATCTTTGGCAAGCATTCCAGAAATTTATTGGACATGAATATAACCTTTAAGACTCTGCAACAAAATAAAAAATGTAACTGATTAGAAAAATAAAATTTGTAGCCTCTTCTAAAGTGCTATTCAGATACCTTACTGTAACATGGAAGTGACTTTTAATTTTTTAAAGCTATGTCAGTAAAGTACAAGTTCTGGGAAGTCCTACCAATCTAGAAAGACTCTGAGTACTGACGGGCCCTGGGCTAGGCTTCATATCTGTTGTTACTCAAGAAACTGTCTAGCTAATTTTGGAAAGACTCACCACCAGGAAAGTTAATCAGCATATAAGGTAGTTTTTAGGGGGTACAGAAACTCCCCCAGATTATCTTCTAAAGCTGGAGTGGCTTTGATATGTATCAGTAAAAGGAGTATCCATAGAGAACTTAGGGATGGAAAGGACCTCAAAAGTCAGATAGCCTAACTCATTCCTGAACAGGAATTCCATCTACAAGTGCTCATTCAGCCTTAACTTGCAAGCATCCTCAAGTGGCCCATTCCACAGAAGAAATCATAAATCTCTAAAACAAAACACTCATTTTCACAACAGAAAAATCATGAAAATTAATTTGTAATGCAAATGCTTATTATCTTATAATCTTGCCAAAATACCAGTACTGCTTCCATTTTATGAACCTAATCAAATCAATTATTAGTATAATTACTTATTTACTAATCTAAATTTAGATATTGCTGTAATGTTTACAAAGCACTTTTCTGCAAGTATTATTATTGCCATTTTATAAATGGAGAGACTGAAGTACAGAGAGGATAAATGTAGGATTATTGGGGGCAGAGATGATTTCATTTTTTATCTTTGTATCCCCAGAACCTTGCAGTGCTTGGCACATGGTAGGTAACTGATAAATGTTTATTGATTTGACTAAGTGAAAACTGCTACTACTAGGACTTAAAGTTAGCTCTTTTGACCCCCAAGAATAGTGCTCTTTTTTTTACTATTCTACACTGTTATTTTAAAACATATATCGTTAGAGGCTCAAGCTATATTTAGAAAAAATAATAAAATAATGAAAACAAGATGCTTAATAGTATTTAATAGCAATTATGTACTATCACAATATTAGTAAATGGATCTGGCTATTAAAGATGCTCTGCAAAATCACCTAGTTTTTCCATTGTCACAATAAGTGGCAGTTTTGACCACTGAAACAGTTATTTTAGAAGTAAATTTTCTCCTTCAGAAAGGATCTTAGAACCTAAAAACCTAATTTCTTCTCATTTTTAATCTAGAAGGGGGAAATGGTGTAAATAATGCATCTGACTTCAAAATATTATACAATTTTAAAAAATATAACAGATATGCTTAATATTTTGGGCAAACTGAATTTCCTCAGCATTCATTACCTGGGAAGCAAGTAATGAGTGATTGGAATGTGCTTCTGAAAGGAAGATTAACAAGAAATTAAAAAGTAGGTGTGAAAAAAAATGGAGAGTAGAATATCTATTAAATACATGCAAATTTCTGGATGCTTTCCAAATATAGTCAACCTTTGATTATTTCTTATGGCAAAGGGCACAACAATAGGGTAGAACAGTTGGCCAATTTTCCTGAGGTTCTTCTCATGACACAGGGCCCCCCAAAGAGCTAAAAGGCATCCCTGAGATCATCTTATCCAATGCCTTCATTTTATGGATGAAGAAACTAAGGTTCAGAATTGAAGTGATTTATTTGTGGTTCACACTGATAGTAGTAGAGCTGAGATTCAGTCTCCTTACTATAAACTCAGTGCTGGTAGATAAATAGGCCTCAAACATGTAGATACTGTAAGGAGTTTGGTATATTTTAATACTTTCATCATCTTCCTTTCACATTTGCCCTCAAAATGGGGTGCCTTCTTGTGAGTAGCTTCTGTGAATTTAGCCCAGGTTGGTCCTTCAGAGAACAGACATCATCTATTAGTAGGCTTGTAGCTGATGACTTCAAAGTTTGGCAGGACTTGCCAGAACTTATGAATTTATTTTCAGATGTGGTCTTCCAAGACAAAATAGGGTACATTACTATGTAAGAAAGAAGCCAACTGGGTTGTATGGAACTCTCAGTCTTACTAGGATGTGAGATAAGGACATCAAAGCATAAGAAAAATCACTTGTTCTGTTCCAAGTCTTGCTCTTATATAAGTCTCAGATTAAAATGAAACAATAGAGGTACAGAAAAAAACAAACAACTGTGCTCTGTTGACAGGAAGCAAGAAAAACTATCAACAAATAGTGGAAATTCTGCTAAATGGACAAGGAAAGACAAGTTACAAGTTACTTTCCAGTACCACATACTAAAAAAAGGTAATAATTTCTTCTTTTGTAAAAGACGGCAGCCGAGGGGTCAGCTAGGTGGCGCAGTGGATAGAGCACCGGCCCTGAATTCAGGAGGACCTGAGTTCAAATCCGGCCTCAGACCAAACACTTGACACTTACTGGCAGTGTGACCCTGGGCAAGTCACTTAACCCCAATTGCCTAAAACAAACAAACAAACAAAAAAAAAACAAAAAAGGCAGCTGAACTAGATGGTCGTCAAGGTTTCTTCCAGTTGTATATCCTGTTAGCCTAGGATCTGTGCACAGAAAATTAAAAGCCACCTAAGATCAAGACTCAAATGCTTAAAAAACCAAACACCCGTGTATGCCATTTTGAAGTTTAAAAAATAAATAATGCCAAGTATAAGATTATGACCATAGGACAAGTAATTCCAAAACATACCAGTACAAGGAAATAAAATTTGCATTACCTAGAGTATAGAGAGTTCAATTCTACTTCAGATTTCACATTCTGGAATACAACCAGTTATTAGAGATAGCTCAACAGTATTGAAGGAAGCATCCTACACTAAGAATGTGTGTGGGGGGGGATTTTAATCAGAGTGGAATTCTACGTGAACTTTAAGTTAGAGTGGTGAGGTTATGAATTGAGATGACAGAGACTAACTATTAAGGCAGGTACAAAGTGAAAAAAATATCACAGAGGTCTCTCACTGGCAGTCAATCAACAAGCATTCACTACGTGCTCTTATGTAGCAGACGCTGTGCCGAGCTCTTGGGATACAAAGAAAGACAAAAATAGAGTCCCTGCCCTCAAGGAGTGCATATTCCATTGGGGGAGACAATCATCCAAGACACACACAGAGTAGACGGAGGTGGGTTTCGGAGGGAAGGCCCTAGCAATTCGGTGGAGGTGCGGGTGAAAGTAGGAAAGACCTCCTGCATAAAGGTGGGTAGTGCAAGGGGATGTGAGCTAAGACTTGGAGGAAGCCCGAGCGGAGGTGAGAGGAGGGGTATGGGCACTGCTTGGGCAAAAGCACGGAGGCGGGAGATAAGGGTGCTGCGTGCCAAGAGCAGCAAGGTTAGGGAGCTGGGGGACAGGGGGCGGAGCGGGGTGGGGGCGTGGAGAGCGAGGCCTCAGACGAGAAGAGCTTGACCCCCAGTGGGGCAGAGACAGGGAGGAGAGAAGGCGGGACCACGCAAGGAAGCGCTGAAAAGGCGGGGCTATGAGGGGGACGGGCGAAGTGGGCGGGGCCAGAGACTACTCACCTGGTTAGTGACCTGCAAAGGAAACAAGAAATAGTTTAGAAATGATCAGTCCGGATTACAGAGCCGCCCCAACCCTCGCCCGGCCCCCTCCCAGCCCCGGCCTCACCTCGGATTTGGCCTCCTGCGGCGGCTGACACAATCCCTCCATAGTCAACCCAAGGAAACCCTGACAGCCCGTAGCCATTTCCGCTTCCGTCCCGGTTCCGGACGGATCCAAGGTGCGGGGGGAACGCGACGTTCCATGTCCGTGGAGCCCTATTTTTTCTCCTCAGCAAAATCGAGTACAAGAGAGACACTGAACATTTATTATATCTGTGTGAAAGAAAAAGACCGTCTTTCTTCCAGTAAAAGGAGAAAGAGGAGGCATTTGAATCGGGCCTCTCCCCCCCCTTCCTTATCTTAGCTTTCCATGCTTGAATTCTTCCTATTCCGGGGAAAGAAGGCTGATGTTGGGCATGCGCAGTTTGGAGAGCCTGTGCCTGACGACTTGGCCAGGGGCTGGGGCTTAGGTGGGGCTTAGCTGGCGCTGGCGGAGCTCTGCTGCCCCAGAGGCAGCTGCTCAAAGAGGGGGCTGATTTCCACGGCTTATCTCCCCATGCAGCCTGTGGCCCATGCCTAGTTCCATAGGGAACTATGGGAAAGAAGCAGCCTACTTTTTTGAAGTTAAATTTTCCAAGCTATTCACACTTTTAGACACCAGTGATTGGGTTCAGTGGATTTAGAGCTAAGAGAGACGTTAGAGATCATTTAGATAAAGTCCCACTGTTTATGGGAGAAGAAAGCCCAGAGGGGTGAATCAATTTGCCCGAAGTCAAACAGGTTGTAGGTAGCAGAGTGGAGATTTGAATCCAGAAACGGGGACAAACAGAATAGTTTGGGAGCTAACTTGCTCAGTGTATTCTGTAGTTAAGATAAAACAATATAACTAGTACTTATATTTTATTTATTCTACATTTAAATATATATGTAAAGTTTGCAAAGCACTTTACAAATGTTACCTCATTTTATCCTCACAACAACCAAGGGAGTTATCCATTATCCTCCATCATCCTTCAAAACCACATCCCCTCATCAATAGCCTCTGCCCTCTGTTTGGAGGGAACATTACAGGCACTGCAATGTTTATTGACTGAGTTAGGTGTTATTATTTCCAAAGGGAAGCAGAGAGAGATAAAGTAACTTGCCCAGGGTCATACAGCTAGTGTCCTAGGCTGTATTTGAATGTATGACTTCCTGACCCCCCAAGTCAAATGCTGCCATCCAGCTGCCTCCTCAAATTCTCCTGAATGGAGATCCCAGGTTACAGGTACAATCCTCATTTTCTGTTCTTCTTTGTATATGGAAATACTTATACTTCCTGGTGTTGGTCAAGTTTAAAATAGCAAGAAACCTATACAATTAATTTAAAAAATCCAAATTTGAACTCAGGTCTTTGGACTAAATTCAGCTGCTTACTTTACTGGATGGCACTATCTTGATAAGGGTTCTTAACCTTTTTTATATCAGACCCCTTTGGCAGTCTGATGAAACTCTTCTCAGAATAATGTTTTTAAATGCATAAAAAATAAATAAGATTACAAAAGAAACCAAATGTTAGTAAAGATAAACATGGGATTTTTTCCCCCTTTCATATCCACAAACCCTCTCCCTCCCCCTGGAATCTCTCTGTAGAGCCCAGGGGAAGAAATTCTGATCTAAATGTGCCATTAGCTCCTCAAACTCAGCATATCCAAAACTGAATTTGTCATCTTCCTCCTCCTAAACCTACTCCTCCAAGTTTCTTTATTTCTTTTGAGAGCACCACAATCCTTCCAGTTACTGAGGCTTGTAATCTGTCAACTCTGATTCTTCTCTCTCTCACTTACCCTAATATCTAATCTGTACAATTGATAGCTATAGACTGTTAATTCTATTTCCACAAATTCTTTCACAACTGTTCCCTACTTTGCATTAACACTTACTATCATAATACAAACCCTCATTGCCTATCCTGGGTGTCCCTTCTCATTACTTATTGTTTTATTTTGATTACTACCCACCTCAAGTTGGGGTGTGTGTGTGTGTGTGTGTGTGTGTGTGTGTGTGTGTGTGTGTGTGGTTTGTCCCTCATTCTCGAAGAGGACAATGACATCAGGAAGATGATGCCATGACTTGCAAATGAATTGGATTTAAGTGAGGGAGGGCTATGCAAAGACCCCAGCCTCATTTTCTCCCCTGCAGCCATCTGTAGGATATCAAAGCAGAGTTAGGCTCCATGCAGTAGCAACATCTATCGTGTTCATGCATAGCAGAGGAAGGCAGTGGCATAGCCGGCCCACGGCAAGGCTTTGCATGGGGGTTCAGAGTCACACCCAGGAAAGGGAGTGCATAATCACTCCTAATGCTCAACTCAAACATAGGGGGATAAGGCCAGGCTTCAACAGAGGCAGCATGATAGTGCGCAGGCTTATGGCAATACTATGCTCCCATAGGACAGTATAGTGGCAGTTGTCCTCCTCTGGCACAGGGAGGGTAATAATTGACCTTAGATGGGGGAGGGGAGGAACAAATCAAGGTTAGGAAAAATAGTAGGGATAAATTCAAGTACCAGCAATGGTGGCTGGCAGACAGAGACATGGACTGTGCTGTCTGATGGCAGCCCAGTGGCAAAAGAGAGGGCACTGGTATGAGCATTGGCAAAATGACAATCCCACTATGGCCCATTCCTTATTATAATCTAGAATCGATTGGCCCCTCCACGTTTCTGCCAGCACAACACCCGGTGATTATTGTATAACTCTTCCTTTAGGAGGGCTTGAAGGACCAAGGGGTGCTGTTATTGGCAGGAGTCTTGCTTTCTGGCAATGAGAAGGTGAAAATGCTTACTAAGCCCCAAAGAAGAAGGGTGGCAATCTCTCAGAGATCTCTCAAAAAGCTAAAATTTATATTCTCCCCTAGACCTTCCCACACATTCCCAGGCTACTTAATTGTTTGTTTGTTTTTTTTTCTGTTTCTGTTTATTTCTTATTTTCCTCCTTCAGTGCTTTCTGTATGAGGTTTTTTGAACATTGGAGGTGAGGGTCAGACACTTCAGGCATTGTGTTAAGATACAAAGAGACAAAAGATGAACCCTGCCTTCAAGAAGCTTACAATCTAACTGGGGAGATGTCAAGCAAACAAGTATATACAGACAAGCTATATACAGGATAAATAGCAAGTAATTAAAAGTGGGAAGGCTCTAGAATTAAGAGGAGTTAGGGAAGGCTCCCTGGAGAAGATGAGATTTTTACTGGGACTTGAAGGAAGCCAGGAAAGCCAGAAGGTGGATTTGAGGAGGGATAACATTCCAGGTATAGGAAACGTCCAAAAAAAATGCCAGAGCTGAGAGCATGTCTTGTTCATGGAACATCTAGGGTTGGGGGGGCGGGAAAATGTCACTTCATGAAAGAGCCCTAGGTGGGGAGTAAGGTTGGAAAGGTGGGGATAGGGATAGGGGTGGGGAGATAGTTTATGAAGGACTTTGAATGCCAGAGGATTTTGTATTTATCCTTGAGGTGATAAGGAGTTACTGGAATTTATTGAGTGGGGGTTGGAGAAGTGTGTGACAGGGTTGAGCCTCTACTTTAGAAAGATCACTTTACCAGCTAAAGAGGATGAATTGCAGTTGGGGGAGGCTTAAAGCAAGCAGGAAACCTCCCCCCCATCTCCCCTGCACCAGCAGGCTATTGTATAATAGCCTCAAACAGGTTGAGGTGAGGAGGAGGGCTTACACTTAGAGTGCTATCAGTGGTGGAGGAGAGAAGAGGAAATATCCAAGAAATATTAAAAGATGAAATTGATAGGCCTTGGCCAGATTGTATATGAAGCATGAGAGAGTGAGGAGTTGTAGGTGACACCTAAGTTGCAGACTGGGAAGATGGTGTTGTCCTCAATAGTAATAGGGAAGTTAGGTGGGGAAAGGTTAGGGTTGATGGGTAACAACCCCAGAGTCAATTTAGTGGTGGAAGGTCCTCTATAACAGTGGTACCAAACTCAAATAGAAACAGGTCCCTCAGACTAAAGATAGACTTAGAAAATCCCAAATTAACATCGTCTATGTTGTATTGTATTTTTGTTTATTTTGTTAAACATTTCCCAATTACATTTTAATCTAGCTCAGGGTAGTATTGAGGGCTGTATCTTCCTCTACTCTAGAAGATCATAAGGACTTTATCACCAAAGGGTGGATGGTGGTGGGAATAATGACCTAACCATTTCATCCATGGAAGTTAGGCCAAATTTTCCTTAAAAGGTATTGAAGCCATCCTGGAGACTTGATTGGGTCAGGCTGTTTGATCTCACTTCGTGGTCCCCTGAATACAAAACAGCCCCAAGGAACTCCAGCTGCTCTCAGATGCTTGACTAATGGAAAACAAGGGAGTGGGAGGTAATTCAGGTAAGGGAGCTTTGCCTTGCCAAATCACTGGAGGCATCCTTGACTTACAACCTTCTCCTGCTATTGTGAAGTAATTCTCCCTTTGTTAACTGTTGAATGATCTACAACTGTTTCATTTGGTTCCAATATTGAACCTCAACTACTAGGAGACTGACTTGAGTCAGGTCCATCCCTAAACACTTTCCTTCTCAAAAACTTTCAGCAGCTAACACAAAGTGAAGTGGGCACAACCAGGAGAACATTGTACACAGTATTAGCAACATTGTCTGATGATCAACTATGATTGACTTTGCTCTTCTCAGCAATACAACGATCCGAGACAAGTCAAAAGGACTTACGATGGAAAATGCTATTCACATCCAGAGAAAGAACTGGTATAACTGAATACAGATCGAAGCATACTATTTTCACTTTACTCTGTGTGTTTTTTTTCCTTTTTTTCTGTTTCTTCTTTCACAACATGACTAATGAGGATATGTTTTACATGATTGCACATATATAACCTATATCAATTTGCTTACTGTCTTAGACAGGAAGGAGGAAGGGAGAGGAGAAAATTTACAGCTCAAAATTTTGTACAAAAATTAATTTTTAAAATTGTCTTTATATGTAATTGGAAAATATTATTTAAAATAAAATAAAAGGTTCCATAGACAATGAAGTAATATTAATTTTTTTATGAAAAACTCCACAACTTTCAGCAGCTCCCCATTGCTTCTTGTGGATCACACATAGATTCATTCCTTTGGTTTTTATGACTTCATATACTGGCTCCAACTTTCCTTCCCATCATTAGTTCACATTACTCCCCTTCACATACTCTACATTCCAGCCAAACTAGACTATTAGCTATTCTTAGAACTTCACATTCTCTCTTCCACATTTCCCTCCTCGTCTCTGCTTTTAAGAATTCTTATTTACTTTCAAAGCTCAGGTCAAGCATCTCTCAGGCCCAAATGCAGATGTGACTGTCAGCCATCACTAGTCCAGGAGCAAGGGAGCTTTGCTCTGC